TTTCAAAAAATTACAAATAGAACTACTATGTGGTCCAGCAATCCCACCTCTCAAAGCATACGTATCCATGGAAATAAAATCGGTATCCTGGAGAGATTATATATACTCTTGTATTTGTTTCAGTGTTGTTCAAAAGATCCAACACAACCTAAGTGGCCATCAATAGATGAATGAATAATGACAAGATCCACACACAACATATACAATGTGATATCATTCAGCATTGAAAAAGAAGAAAACTCTGTCATCAGAAGGATAGTATACTCACTAAAAGGGGAAGACAAAAAGGAGGCATCGTGTCTCTCACAGATGTCATCACCGTGGCGGCTGAGTAGAGCAAAGGGGAGATGCTGAGAAAAGGGGATACAGTTTCTGTGTAAGGTTAGTGTGTTCCAGTGACCTAACACGCAGAGCTGTAAGCAGGGCTAATGCGACTGTGTCTGTGGCAGTCCTATTTCCCGATACGAGGACTAAACACATGCAGCCTGCATCTAAATGCTGGTGTAGTTGGGTTCACAGCATCAGGAGCTTCAGTGCCTGGCCCCTGAGTCTAAAGCAGGATCCTGAATGCAGAGGAACAGAGTAGGACAAAGTGGCTGCATCCCTGGTGGCTGGGAAACAAAGACCGTCCATGGAGATGAGCCAGGGGCGCACGCAGGGGCACTTCCCGGGTCCCAGGCCTACCAACATATCCAGCTGGAGCAGCGTCAGGTGGTTGAGCCAGCAGTGGAGTCACCACTTCAGGAGGCTCCTAATTCAGTAGACAGTTACGGTAAACTGGCACAGCGTTGGGTATTTGAGATTAGCTGAGGGGCCGACTGGAAAACTAGTCAGCATATAAAGAAAACAGGATGACTTTGACATGACATATATGATAATTGCTTTTACTGGGGTAATCATTTCATAAGGGTACACGTACGCGCACAACTCATTGTAACATCTAATATGTATTAAATTTTATTAGTTAAATAGGGAAAGATAAAAAATCAAATGAGCTGATTTTAGAGTATAAGTTAGGAATAATAGGACATATGTGAAGACACTTTCTAAGTTTGAAGGATTTTCAGATGTAGAGTGGTTTTTCTTTAAAACTTGCACTAGGGGTACACAGCACACTTTAAGGTGAATGCTTAGACTGTTTAAAACGATTGAAGTAAATAAAAGACACATGGCCAGCTGGGGAGATAGCTTGGCAGTCCAAGCACCTGCCTGGCCAGTACAAGGACCTGAGTCGATCCCCAGTACTGCATGACATGCTGGCCCTGGAACCCTGGCTGTGCCACGTTGGCCCCCAAACCACGTATGGTGGCACATGGCTGTAATCCCAGTGCTGTGGTGGCTGAGACGGGAGGATCACTATGAGTCTGAGCTGTACTGCAAAACCTTGTACTAACTAAGTAAATCATTAAAAAAAGACATTGCCAAGAATGATGGGATAAGTATGTTTGAATCAGGACAAGGATAGTGAATGATACTTCTACTTTTTTTTCTTTTTCTTTTTTTTTCTTTTTCTTTTTTTTTTTTTTTTGGGGAAACCGGGGATTGAACTCAGGCCCTTGCTCTTGCCAGGCAAATGCTTATTCTACTGAGCCATCTCCCAGGCCCCATACTTCTACTTTTCATTTGAACTTTTTACATCACACAAAGGAGCATAATTTAAATATAATAAAAGATCTAGTATAAAATTAGATTTCCATAAGTTTTTAATATAAATCTGTTTTCTCCAGGATCTACTCTCAACACAAAGCATTTATGTTGTTTCCAGTGTGTCACTATTTCTGGACTGTTTATCACAGATGGATTCAGTCTGTCTACTGCAAGGTGTTGTTGGCCTACCTGAAACTATAGCAATCACAAAAAAAGTAATAAGATACTCTAAATGAAAAAAGGAAATTGAGATAAAATTACCAAATGCTGTGAGGTGTTTTAAACTAAAGTATTACATAGTTTATTTTAATATAATTATAAATTTTAAATTATTTCAAGTATTATTCACCCATGATACTAAATATACATTCAAATATACATTTTTTTTTGGTGATTGCTATTAACAGTGATATTCACAATGAGAACAATAGCAGAAGAAGGCCTTGTGCACATGCGTGATACTTCATGTATTTGCCCAAAGCAGTATTATAATGTGCATATCAACTCTGTGACATAGTAAAATAACATGTGCATATTACCTTTGTGAAAATAGTCTAAGGATTTTTTTTTTTTTGATAATTCCATCTGATGTTTGTCAGTGCCACCTTCTAGCAATACAAATGTTGGTACTGCAGATTGTTTCCCCATAAAGTTTGTGTGGAACAATAGCCTGAAAAAATGTATCAATGTGAACAATCTTTCAAAGAGTTTTATAAGATATTTTTGTTCTATTAGTGGATAGGACATATTTTGATCATATCAAAATTTCTCTTTATGGGTTATTGTGGGTTTGAATGTATATTTAGTATCATGGATGAATAATACTTAAAATAATTTAAAATTTATACTTATATTAAAATAAACTTTGTAATACTTTAGTTTAAAACACTTCACAGCATTTGGTAATTTTATCTCAATTTCCTTTTCTCATTTATAGTATCTTATTATTTTTAATGTATTTGGTTGCTACAGGGTCTCACTACACAGCTCAGACTGACAGTGGTCCTGCTGCTTCCAGCCTCCGCAGCGCTGGGATCACAGGCGTGCGCACCAGGCCTGGACACTGGCCAGCGCAGCGTGCCCCGGGGGCGGGCATGCGGTGCTGGGGACCGACCCACGGTCCCTACTCTAGCTTAGGCTTGCCTAAGCAGACGCTTTAGTCTGCCGAGCTCTCTGGCAGGGCCCAATTTAGTATTTTACAATGAATACTTTTGATATTTTTGGAAGAACTACTATAATAGTTGTCTTTTTGGAGTAAATTATTTAAAAAATGTGGTCAGTAGAAAGTTATTTCATTTTGAATCTCAGAAAATGAAATATTAGAAAACCAATTAAGAAATGGAATATATAAACTGTTTTCAAAATATAGTTCATCTTTAAATAATCATTGTTATAGTGGTTTTACTTCATTTTATGTAAAAATATTATTTTAGAGATTGAACCTGCCTTTCTCCCCCCTTTCTTTAAATGACTGAATTCAAAATAATAGCAGAATATTAAATTATTTTTAATAATGCTTTTTATATAGAATAGTAATTATAAAGATATCACTGGCATAGTATTTTTTGTCTGTCTTTATATCTCTTAATGTACACTATTTCATTAATTATAAGGCTATCTTGACAAATGCATGATTAAGTTAGACCTTGGGAGTCACAGTGATGGTTAGTATTTACAACACGTTCACTTTAAATTTCCTTACATATGAATAAATATTCTACAAGTAATCTGTGTTGGGAGGTGAAAGCTGTATTGGCTTAACTGCTAGAAATATGTCATTTAATTTGAGCTATCTTTTAAAAATGGATTTTCTTTGTACAAAGGAAGTATGGCACTGCTATTTTTAAGACCTGCCAGCACACTAAAATACCAAGCCGCCTACTGCAGTGCTTGGGAGCGGACAGCACGCGTCCATGCCTGTGACTGTGCAGCCGGTCATCAGCGGCGGAGACTGTATCCCTACTGGGGAACCACAGACCCGCTGACGCTGAGGATTAACCGTTCGGCGGAACAACCAAAAGCCTGCAGCCTATAAGCTTTTATTAATTTTTCACTGATAACACTGAATCTATTTTTCAGTTTAAGACATTTACATTTTAATTTGGGGACTAAATAAAATCCTCATTAAGCCTGACAAACGGTAGCCTCGAGTCAACACAGCGCATTTTCTCCTGAAGTCGGAGCGAGCTCCGCCCGCCCTTCCCTCGTGCTGCTGTAGCCTGGCAGTTACACAGAGGTGTGGATCGCAGGAGGAGGTGAAGCTTTTGTTCCAAAAGCAAGAGAAAATCTAGCCATGAAATGGTGTTCTGAAGTGAATCAACACATAAAAGAAGGAATGATTAGTATATTCATCCTATACATTTCATGCTAATATTATTGAGGACAAGCCACTTATTTCTCTGGGTAAAAATTCTACTTATTGATACATTATTGAATGTGGTAATTTTCTAGTTAAAATTTATAACGATGAGATCACTGTGTGCATGCGTGGTTTTTTTCAGCGGAAGAATTAATTTTATTACATGTACTTTTCCCCAAGTGTAAATCAATCCAGATGTATTTAGCTCAGTTTCCACAGAAGTGCCCAGGCTTTTAATTTCTGCCTCAGTAGTGTTATTTAATTATTCTGTTTAAAATAAAGTTATTATTTTAAATTATTGGATATTGACATTTATGAAGTCTAATCTAATTTATGAAGTTTGTGTCACTATTCAACTGAACACAAAATAATTAGAAAAAAAAATGGGGATTGAACCCAAGACCTCACATGTGCTATGGCTTTCTCTACCACTTAGTCACATGCTCAACCCATTGTTCTATGGAGACGTCGCGGTCTCTGTGCTTTGTTAAGCTTGTTCTAAGTAGGTGCTTTAGACCACTGAGCCATCTCACCAGCCCCGGGAATCAGTTCTTACACATGGCTTTGTGGATACAGCTAGCATGATTATATGAATTATATAAAGTAAATTAATATATACATTTTAATGTTTAAATAATAACTTGTATAAGCTTGGATAAAGCTACTTAATCCATGTTCCTGCCTTTCAAATGTCATCATAGGCAATTTATTTTGCAAGTACTTAGTGACAATCTATGGTTACTATTTTCACCCTTAGATTACAAATGGAGGGGGTATTTGCTATCAAATAGTCTTCCGCACCTGTCTTCACATAGGCAGTATACTATGGAGCAGCTTGTATTGCTTCAAAATACTTAATCTGTACCTCAAAATTGTGCTGATCTCAACCACGTATTAGTTAATATGAGTAAACTGAATGGATTGATTGTTAGGACTTGTGTTTAAAGACATAATACCCAGGACATATCTTTAATAAGACCGAAGTTGTGCGAGCATGTGGTGCACACCCATGAAGCCAAAGCAGGAGGATCACATGCACAAGGCTGACCTGGGAAATCGTTGTTCAAAAGGAAATGAAAAAGGGCACGAAGCTATCGCTCAAAAGTAGAACATACCTGACACTGCCAGTACATACATAAGTGATGCCTAAAAAGTAATGTCTTAAGTCAACCTAAATCTTTATTTCAGTGTATGTAACTGGAACTGATATGTTGCATTGATGAAAATGATCATCTTGCGTTGCCTGAGTTCACTCTCTGTTCTCTGCTTTTGCTTCCAGATGCAATAACAGGACGCAGTGCGCAGTGGTGGCGGGTCCTGATGTTTTCCCAGACCCCTGTCCAGGAACCTATAAATACCTTGAAGTGCAGTATGAATGTGTCCCTTACAGTATGTATATTTCTATACTTTTTTTCTAAGAAGAAAAAAATAAATTTGCTTTGTATGTATGCACAGACAAAAATATTCACTGTGGAATCACAGGAGTCATCATAAATGAAAAAAAAGAACTGGTTTTAGTTTGTTGGTATCATAGACTCAACCCATCCCTGGAAAAAATTACATCATGCCTGCATGTTCTCACAACACCTAAATTTAGTAATATGTTCTATACACTGATACCTACTTTGACTCTTTTAAATGCAGAAATGTGAAACATTTAGGAAAATACTGAGAATCATTATGCCAATCCTGCATCCATCTGGGTCTACCAAATAGGACAGAAAGAGAATACTATTCTTGTATAGATAGTGGTATAGACAATAATAAATTCTGAATTTAATAAAAAATATTACTGATAGTGATGTGCTAGGAGCATTCTGATAATTACTATATTCACCCAGAGGGAACAGGCTGTAGAAAAATACAATGCTTGCATATTCTAAAGTACTCTTCATGGGATATTTTCACAGCCTCAACAAGTATGTCTTTGAAACATTTCAGATACAGCACAAGGCAGCAACACACTTTTCTTTGAAATAATGAAAAAATCAAACAATCTAACATGGAACATTTTCTGACTTTTCTGTCCAAAATTTTCAACATCTCTTAAGAAAGAAATTTATCTGAGTAGTTAATTATTCATTGGATATCTAGTTACTGACGAAATCCTGTAGTCTCTTACGAGCTATACAGCTTATCCCAGAGATAGAAAAACCTGGGACCACAAACAAATCCCTCATTCTATCTTCCTTTGATGTCTCAGGAGCCAAATATCCGGGATCACAGCTTTATGGTGCTCGGAGGTTTCAGCTTTGCTCTTTGGTACTATTTAAAGAAGAGCACATTACTCATGAGCTGGGAAGTGCACATACTTCAAAAACAGAGAGAAACTCATCCAATAAGACTGAAGTGAAATTTAAGGTGCTGATGAAAGTAATCAAGAGAAAATTTTATTTTTGCATTGCTCGTAGCATGATCAATGGGAGAAAGTTCACCTAGTGAAGTTTCGTGTACTGTTGTTATGAAAAAGTATAAGTTCACAGGTTTGTTGAAATTTCAGTTGTGTTGTGGTCCTTACATTATTTTTCTACAGGCTTTTCATGAAAAATAAAACCATTCTACTACAACCATGATATTTTGACTAAACCAAATTCATAGGCCCTGTTGTGATGATGACAGTTCTACGTGGGTAGCATTGTAAAACATGTAGAATCATGCCCTAGAAAAGCATTTTATGCCATTATATAATAAGGCGGACCTGGTTTTTAAGAACAAATAGAAATCTAATATTCAATTTTTTTAAATTTTTTCACATTGTGAAATATAGAAGCAGAATTGAAATGTTTGGTTGTAGCCTTTATCATAGATTTTTTTTTTAAGTAAGAAACTTCACAGCTGTCTCTTCAGTTTCCTGTATTTCATCAGAATTTCTTTGATGATCACCACTCTAGAATCCTCTGCCAAACTCATTCTGAAACATCTCCTTAAATCACTTCAATGCAAATAAGAACTTCCTCATATAGTTTTGCAAAAAAGGATTATGACTTACCACACAGTTCCTTTCATGTTTTCAGAGATGGACAATTTGAATTCTTAACAACCTCTATTTAGAGGTTCCTCATTATCCTGAAAGTGTACTGACTGCCTTTGAAATAAGTTCCTTATATATTAAAATATTTGTCTTATGTTTCCCTCAATAGGAATTATTAACCGAATTATACTCGCTAGCTACTTTTTAAATAATTTAATTCATACCATATACTGTGTTTATTGAAGTTGTCTTCAATGTGTTCCAGTTAAAAATATAATTCATAATTGGAATTTCATTAGTAAAGATAACATAATTTTAAAATAATTCAAAGGGAGATATGAATCATAATATCAACTATGTTGATTCATTGAAAATGGGGTTTGGTTTAGTGGAAGGCAACCAGTGGTCAGGAAGCATGACTTGTGACTATGATGTGACTACTTAACAAAAAGGCTGAATTGTTCAGCCTTGAACCATTAAACTATTAAACCATTAAACTATTTTGAGGCTCACCTTGTAATTGCAGGTTTAGTTCAACACCAGTTACTCTTCTTTTCTTGAACATAATACCATGATTTTCAAATGCTTAAAAACCTTACTTACGTGCCACTTACTACATGGATTCAATGTGTGCACCTGCTCTATCATTCAATTCTCCTTACCAGCAGATAGACACAGTATTACCCAGCAGGTTATACACTTGTCACATGTAGGAGATAAGCCAGAGAATGGGAGAGCTTTGTTTACCTCCCATTCCTCTTCTTAAGGTTCCGCTGTATTTCTACTCAATGATTTTTCCCTTCATATTATTATGAGTTATTGATCTTGTTCAATATTTAATTCATGATTTTCATTGGTGTAATTATGGCAATTGCTGAAAGCAAGTGCTTCACAGGCCTGCTTCCTTTGTCTTTTTCCCTGAGCTATTTTTTATTAATGTATGTTTCTTTATTTAGAGCAGATGAATCATTGCAAACCTATTTTTTAATCATTTCATGAAGCTTTAATGCATAAGCTATTTAATGCCATTGAGAAGAGTGCCATCATCTTAGAATGAGCCTCTTATTTCCCAGTAAGTTAAAAGTTTATTTTTCAACCTGGTGAGGTGGTGCCTTTCTATAATCCCTGTAATCTGAGGCTAGGAGACTCTTGAAAGCAAGAAAGCAAGCAAGGAAGCAAACAAGCAAGCAAGCAAGAAAGAAAGGGGGAAGAGGGAGGAAATAAATAAGAGAAATGTGGCTTCTGTTTTAGAGAAAACTTTGTACTTAATGATATCATTATGATTCTGAATGAGACACATCTATTGCATTAATATAGGGCAAACTTCAGATTTAGGATTTTAATATTTATACTTGAAAATGCTCTCATGAAATAACCTCAGTAATGTTACATTTGGTTTTTTGTGTAATTCAGTAATAATCATTTCCATTTGGATTTAAGGGCACAAGCTCTGGTGCCTAGGGAACAGTCATCTGTCACACTTTAGTTCTAGCATGATTTTTCTAGCCTCTGCGTTTTCTTTTAAGATTTTATTTTCCTCCTTAGTGGATATTGACTTCCCAGGAGATGACCCACATGCAGATTAGAGACCCTGTGTATGGCGGTGGTCTTACGCCCTAAGGAAGGCGAAGATTCCTTCCACCTGGTACTTATGCTGTTGCATTTCTGTTTAGATTTCCTGCTACTTATCACTTTGTTAGTGTTGAGTTCAATAACTTGCTATAGGTTGGTAGCCTTGGAGCAACAGGAAATACCGCACACCTAGTGTGGTAAGCTGTCCCATGAAGTGTTGAAAGTATGTTATGTTAAAAATCTCCCAGTGACATAGTTCTTAGCACATACCACCATTGTGAAGTGACACATGACTACAACATAGTGATCATTTGTGAATGTTTTCATCTTTATATTGACATGTGGAGGAAATGTTCTTATGTTCTAAATCCTTATGTTCTTTACACACATTCTGTGTGTGTTTCCACAACAGTGTTGATATTAAGATGAGATTATTCATATTGGAAAATGTTGAAAACCAAAAAAATTAGGAAAACATATTGGTAATAGCAAAGCATCTTAGAGGAAAAAGTTTAACCGTGGACATTTTTCATTTCTTTTCATAAGAAAAGTAAAATATCAAGGGCAACTGACCAGTTCTGCGGAAAACGATACAGGGGCTGTAGCTGGTGAGTTCTGGATGCTGAGCTGCACCTTCTGCGCAATTTGTAGTAACTTCAGTAGTAAATAAATAACTGAACAATGACAACCTCAGAGGAAACTTATCCTTAAGGACTCAACTAATATAACTTTCTTTTCAAGATGCCAATAAAAAAGAAAAGCAGAAAAGTTAGCAATTGTAAAGTGATTTATTGAGATTGCCTTTTTGAATGTCTTGTGCTCATTTTTTTACCCACTAAAACTGTATTTAATATGTTCTAAGTCATATACTCTTACTCCTGTTCTGTATTATCAGACGGCATACTCTACTTCTAATAAAATTTGGGACAAACGAATCAATACTTTCCCAGTTCCTGTCACACCTTAGTTCTAGCATGATTTTTCTAGCCTCTGCGTTTTCTTTTAAGATTTTACTTTCCTCCTTAGTGGATATTGACTTCCCAGGAGATGACCCACATGCAGAAGAGGTTAAACCTCACCACTTACCAGTGCCATGGCTTTTGTTCTTCCGTTTTCCATGTCACTCCACCCCACCCCTTGTGACCTGACTTGAGATGGAAATCTTGGCAGCCTCAAGGACCGCTGCTTTCCTTTAACTACGGTACAGGGATGACTTGTGTGAGAAAGAAAACAATATAAGTAGCCACCAACCTAGAGCACTCTGAGCAGAGGCCTCACTTTGTAGCCTGCTGACAAACCTTTTCTTCTAATGCACGCAATTTCATGCATGTTTCGCTCCAGCTCAAACGTACTTGTCTTCCATTACTCTCTACCTTTTCTCCTCAGCTATTTGTTTCTTTTCAGAAACACAGAGCACATACTACTTATTTGAGCAATCTTCTTTCTTAATGGATTTTTCTAAGAAATGAAGGGAAAAGTACCCAGTTTTGAGAGCTCCTAAGGAAGACTGTTTGATTAAAGCAGTCTTTCAGCGCTTGCTTCGGCAGCATGTACTGAGGACGTCTTACCGCACTTAAGCTCTTCTGATTATTCATGTTCACCATCGGAAGAGTTATGGGGGTAATTATCTTAATGAAAAATGAGTGCTATTGGAAAATTAATATTTACAAATAATTATTAATTTTTATTTTTGTCTTAACTCTGAGAAAAATGTGTCATACTTTTTGCATTTAAAACAGTGTCAGATGGGGCAGGGGAGATAGCTTAGCAAAATAAGCATTTGCCTGGCAAGCACAAGGTCCTGAGTTCAATCCCCAGCACTGCAATAAATAAATAAATATATAAA